TTCTCATGCTCGTGCAGTCTCCGCAGTCTCCGCAGTCTCCGCAGCCTTCGCAGCCTTCACAGCCTTCAAAGCCATCTAACCTCCCGAATCTGCGACGCCTCTTTGTGGAAGCCCGGAGCGAAGCCGAAGAAAGCGCCTACTCGAGAAATGCTGTACGTATCTACGCAAACCCACCGGCTTCTCACTAAATCTCGCGCCTAGTTCTACAACCTCGTCATCTTTATGTCTTCGGTCGCTGTCTACAGCTTGGTTGCTCAGAGAATGTCCTCTAAAGCTATTAGATCATGAAGAGGAAGGAGTGCGATGCTGCCATTATTCGCGACTAGGCGAGGGGATGTGTATTGATTAAGCAAAAAGCTATGGGTATCCTAACGACACTCTACACCTGTACAGTTCCACGTACAACACCATAAGATTTGGACCGTTACCATGGAAAGAAACGGAAAGCGCTACTCGGAATCGTCGCCGTCACCGTCGTGAACATCATCTTCACTCTTGTCAGAGTCCCCCTTGACATCACTGTCATCCTGGTCATCATCTGTAGAGTCCTCCGCGTCATCCTGAGCCTCGTTCGCTTCCTCGCCATCCTCGCTGAAAACGGGTGCCACCGCCTTGGGAACAGGTCGGCTAGCTGCTCGTCGGGGTCGTCCAGTGTCCGTGACTTCTTGCTTTCCCCAAGCTTCCGCGCCGGCTTGGATAGCCTCCAGATCCTTGGCGAATTCGCGCTGCTCTTTGATCCGTGCAGCCTTCTCATTGGAGTACTTGCCCTCCATCCCGGCCTCCGAGAGCATTGCCTTGAGGTGCTTGATCTTCTCCTTGGATGTGTTGCAGCTGGCAAGCTCCTTTCCCCAGACTTTGCGGATCCCGCACTTTACAAGCCAGCTTTGCAGCCGCTTGACCTCTGCCTGATCAGGATCATTGGCGCTTGCTTTGGGTGGCGCTTTCGCTTTCGCCTCCTTTTTGGGCTTGTCTGCCGGCCCCCGCTTCTTCTTCTTAACGGGCGACTCGTCGATCAAACTCGAAAGATCGCTATCCTCTGCGTCGTCTTTGGACTGGGGAGGTGGCGTCTTCTTCACAGCCACGTCGTCGACGTCCTCGTCGCTGAGCCCCTTCTGTGCCTTGGGCGCATCTTCTTCATCCGAGTCCTCTGCAACCACCTTCTTTTGTCGACGCGCTGGCTTCTTCGGCGGCTCGCTCTCTGCATCCGAGAGCTTATCTTCCGCGGCGTCTGGAAGCTCGTCCTCGGATGACACTGTCCTCCTGCGCTTCTGCGGCTTCTTCGCCGGCGCTGCCGCCTTCCTCTTCACTCCGCCTGCGCTCGCTTTCGACGGCTTGGCAATCTTCCGTGGGGCGGGCTTCGCTTTGGCAGCCTTCTTGGGCGGCGAGGGCTCGGGTTCGGGTTCGGCATCGTCGCAGTACTTCTCCTGCAAGAACTGTGAGTAAACCGCAGTGCCTCCTATAGTGCTACATCATACCACTGCCTCGTGAATGAGGCTCTGGCTCTTCTGCTTCCACTCCTGGCGTCTCAGAAAGCCATCGGGCAGCCCCAGCTCCGTCTCCGCCCTCGCTCTGACGCGCTTGATGGTGAGGTCATCGGTGTTGCCTCCCTTGTGTATCGAGATGACGACGTCGCGGAGGGCCTTGACAATGGCCGACTCGGCTGGAAGATTAGTCGTCTCCGAGTCCGACATACTTTGCGGTGGATGGGACACGGCGGATCAGCAATTGTGGTGGAGGCGAGCGCGTCGAGGCCGCAAAGTCGCGTCGAGGAAGCGCGCCGGAGCGGAGAAGTTCCGAGGGCAGCGTAGGTGAGGGCCGTGAGGCGTGCCAGGTGCGGGGGTCCAATTGGAGGCCGCTCTGGAGGGCTAGAGCTGCCGTGTCACGTGCAGCAACGCCCGTGGTTGCCAGCAAAAACAGGGCCTAGCTTGGAGAGTCAGCCTCAGGCCTGGCAGAGATCAGTGTCCTTTTTGCCTGTACGCCGTCTCCCAGAAGCAAATATTGCCATGCCCTGCGCGTTCCTAGATTGCTGTGCACTCGTGCGCCAGGGCCAGCTTGAGCACAGTGGAGTCCGTGCCCCGCTGTGCTGAGGCGCTACGTCACATTTATTTCCCATTCAACGATACCAGCAAAATGCATGCTTTTTGCAATTCACTTTCTCGACACCCTCTCGGCCTACACGTGGCCAGCATCGCCCCTATAAATCTCTACCAAGGTTGACTGTCCATAATTCTTTGCCTCGCCAACGCGATCGCTCTCCCTGCACTTTCTGTGACCTGTCGCAATTGCGGCATCATCTCGGAAACCTGCGAGAGCCTTCGCCGCCTTCGCTGTAGCCCTCCTCACCTACCAAGTCATTCTGCCGTCACTGCAGACGCCGTCAAATTAATTCTGCCACTCTTATCGCCTGCGGCCCGCCTAAATATCGCTACCCATCCGTCACACGCGGGAACGGTCGACATCCCTTAGAGCCCAAGCCCAAGCCCCACCTCCAACTTGTATTACTTCTTCCTCTTCTTCCTCTCCATCCCCCTACGCCCATATCGTCCATAAATCGCCACCATGGCAGAACCTACCCCCTCGGAGGCGCCTTCCACGCCAAAAGCATCCGCCCCCTCACCACCCACCAAGCTGGTGCGCCATCACACTTCGGACGGCCGGCTGTTGCTTGTCTCGAACCGACTTCCCATCACGATCAAGCGCTCCGATGAGGGCAAATACGACTTCTCCATGTCCTCTGGCGGCCTGGTCAGTGGCCTGAGCGGCTTGTCAAAAACCACCACCTTTCAGTGGTATGGCTGGCCTGGCATGGAGGTGCCAGAGGATGAGATTGGCACTCTCAAGGAAGATCTGAAGAGGGAACACAATGCCGTTCCGATCATGCTCGACGACGACATTGCGGATCGCCATTACAACGGCTTTTCCAGTAAGTCAATCTTGTCGGAGAGCTGCTTCAATAGGCTGACTGTGCACAGACTCCATCCTCTGGCCTCTTTTCCACTACCACCCCGGAGAGATTACTTTCGACGAGTCCGCATGGGAAGCTTACACCGAGGCCAACCGTCTATTCGCAAAGGCTATTGCGAAGGATGTTCAGGATAACGACATGGTCTGGGTGCATGACTACCACTTGATGCTCTTGCCTGCCATGCTGCGCGAGGAGATTGGCGACACTAAGAAAAACGTGAAGTTGGGCTTCTTCCTGCACACGCCCTTCCCGAGCTCGGAAATTTATCGAATTCTCCCTGTTCGAAACGAAATCCTCCTCGGTGTTCTCCACTGCGATCTGATCGGCTTCCACACCTACGACTACGCCCGTCATTTCCTCAGCAGTTGCTCGCGCATCCTGGGCCTTGCAACCACGCCGAATGGAGTCGAGTTCCAGAACAAGGTCGTCACGGTCGGCGCATTCCCCATCGGCATCGACCCCGAAAAGTTCGACGAGGGCCTGAAGATGCCTAGTGTACAGGCGCGCATCCAGGCGCTTGAGAAGAAGTTCGATGGCGTGAAGCTGATTGTGGGCGTTGACCGCCTCGACTACATCAAGGGAGTTCCGCAAAAGTTGCACGCGCTGGAAGTTTTCCTGACCGAGCATCCGGAGTGGATCGGCAAGGTTGTTCTCGTCCAGGTCGCCGTCCCAAGTCGACAGGATGTTGAAGAGTATCAGAACCTCCGCGCCGTCGTCAACGAGCTCGTCGGCAGGATCAACGGCAAGTTTGGCTCCATTGAGTTCATGCCAATCCACTTCATGCACAAGTCAGTCACCTTTGAGGAGTTGATTGCACTGTACTCTGTCTCCGATGCGTGTCTCGTCTCTTCGACTCGCGACGGCATGAATCTGGTGTCCTATGAGTACATTGCAACACAGGAGAAGCGCCACGGCGTCATGATCCTGTCTGAGTTCACCGGCGCCGCTCAGAGTCTGAATGGAAGTCTGGTGGTCAACCCGTGGAATACCGAGGAGCTAGCAGATGCCATCCACGAGGCCGTCACAATGGGCGACGAGCTGCGCGATCTCAATTACCAGAAGCTCTCCAAGTACATTAGAAAGTACACCAGGTAAGCCTCTCTCACAGCCACGGGCGATATCAGCTAACATGTTCAGTGCCTGGTGGGGCACGTCCTTTGTCAACGAGCTCACGAGGATATCGCAACACCCTGACAACAACGGCTCCACCCCTGAGCCCGACACCGACGAGCCGAGCTCCACCGATGCACCCCCTGCCGAGCCAGTCATCGAGAAGTCCCAGACGTAGTAACGATGTGGCCACATCGGTAGCTGTGCGACCACGCAGAGTAACGAACAGCATAACGGGCGTACACATGGGTTTCCTTTTTGAGCGTAGGGCACTGCATCAAAGCTTGGCGCAATCGGCATGTGTAGACGAACTGGACGGGACCGTGATGATATGGAGATTACCCTACTTTGAATTCCCCTGAGAGCCGTCCCGCTAGCAGTGATGGATATAGATTTCTTTCAATGTTGGCTGTGTTCTGCAATGGATGGTCTTTCGTAGATCCTTGTGTGATGCAAAAATGTCCTATTATCCCCCTTCTTGCGTGATGTGGTGTGGTGAGGCTTTATAGTTAAGGTCCGCGATAGATGCTTGCAATTTGAATGTGCGCTTTAACGGTACGGAGATGTTGGTATGTAGGAAGGTGACTTGTGATAGAGTATGGTACTATGTACTAGAAACTTGGAGGATCTGTGTATGGTTTTCGATGCAGTGAATACAATTAGCCTGCCTGTTTATATGCCGGGGGTGTTTCCGACTACTCTGTGGTGAGGCCTATGTAGGGTAAATGGTTTGGGTTTTCCCGATCTCTGTTTTTCAGGAGGGTCGAGACTTCCTTTCTGTCGATTTTGCTTCGCTGTCAAATAAGAAAAACCACTCACGAGCACATCAACCACCGCTGTCGTGTGGCGCCAAAAAAAACCCCTACAGTCCTTTTCCGAATCTTTCAAGAACAAAAAAGAAGCGAAATAAAACGCAAAAATGAAGTGGACTTGCTGGGAATCGAACCCAGGACCTTTCCCATGCTAAGGGAAAATTATACCACTAAACCACAAGCCCGTATTGGATTATGAGGATAATGAAGACTTTTGTGCTTATATACCGGAGTGAAAGGGGAATTTTACGTGTGATCGTTGAGGGAAGGCAATTCGATATGTTTCAGAGATGGATGGTAGATTTAGCGTATTCGGGTAGCGTGTGCCGTGCTTTTCGCGGCGAGAACTTTTTAGTACGCGCTAAATTCTAATCGATTAAAAATCGAGTTTTCTCTCCCTTCCCGACGTGTATGCCGCCTACATAGCCTGCGCTACAACTTTATTAACTATTAAAGAAACTCCTTATAAACACTAAATCCTTTTAACTCTCTAAGGTCTAAGCTACTCAATCTAATTCGAAATCTCAGTCTAGATCTTTTCTTAGGGACAGCTTCATCGTACTTCGTAACTAAAACTCTACCCTTACATCCCGACCCTGTGCCTTGAATATACGCTTGAACTATCCTCTCCTCTCTTCTCTCTAGCTCTGTAGAAATATGCAACGCTTTTTCGTCTATGTACGGGGAATCTCGCTAGCTAGTATGTATATATATATTCTATTAAAGGCTATTTACTCAAGTCTGTCACGGCTAAGAAGAGTAGGAGAGTAGGAGAGATAACTCGAGTCAAAGTATATATATATTTCAGATTCTTTTTTCCCTCTCTTCTCTACTCTATCTATTCTTTCCCTATGACTGATTAAGGTAAACGCGATATAATGTGATATTACAAACTATACAACCTCTCTCCCTCGCTATCCTTCCCTATCAAATTCGAGTAATAAAAAGGTCTCTACTATGTTATCCATATACCCGCATCCTCATCCGCTAGCTAATGCACGCGTAAAAGCCCAAAAACCACCCAACCCAGCAATTAAGATGAAAAAAAAAGAATAAGAATCAAACCAGCAATACATGCATGCAAGCAAGCAAGCATAACGCAGTCCCTACCAAGCCACCCATGTATATAATATGAATCCAGTCCCGAGCCTGAAAGCGAAGAAATGCCTTCCTCCCCAACACAAAAAGAAGAGAGAAGAAAAAATCAATAGAAGGGGAAAAACCCCCCCAGGGTATCAAAAAAGATAAAAATGCAAAGACAAATTTACAATCCTCCACCTCTCCTCCATCCACCCATCCCATCATATCTCACACAGGAAGAAGGAAACTCTGACAGCCTTTTAGGCTGGCTGGGCGACGTGGTTGTGTTTCTTAAGGTAGTGGCAGGTGAGGGTATAGCGACGAGTATAAGAGCGGTTGCAGAAGTCGCATATGAAGGTCTTGGAGCCTTTATTTTCGTCTTCGGCGGGTGGCTCGTGAGGAGCGACTGGAGACGGGTATGTTCCTGTTGGAGGGAATGCCTATGTCGTTGTTATTGGTCCTCGATACACCGTGGTCACTGGGACTCGGCGCCTCGTTGTCAGCAGAAGCCGATACGTCGTTATCCCAAGCCCCCGATGCGCCGTTGTCACCGCGACTTGATACGCCGTTGTTCCCCGCGCTCGATATCTCGTTGTCAGTAGAACCATCAGCGTCATCGCCAGTAACACTCAACGCTTCACTCCCATCCCAACCCCCACCCTCCTCCTGTACCTCATCAGGAGATTGTCTCTAAATATCCCCTTGATCGAGAATATCATCCAGCGCACCGTCCAAAATATCTATATCCTTAACACTTCCACCCTGCCACGTAAGTTCCTCATCCAGCACCATAGGATCCCCGAGATCGACATTCCAGCCTTGCTCGAGGTTTGAATTCGCCGTGCCGTTGACGCCGTTAGCGATACCATTAGTAAGGGTCTTTTTATGCGGCGGCTGGGGCGCGGCATATATATCTTCCACACCGGGTGTATCCAGGAATCTTGAATTCGAGATCGAGCCCGCGATCAGAGGAACCTGTCCCAAGAACCCGTCGCCTAATAAAAGTGCGAGTTTCAAGTCCTCCATGCACATAGGCGGCCGCTTCTTACGCTCTTCCGCCTCGACAGGGAGTTCGCCGCCAGGCACTCTTATTAATTCCCCGCGGGCGACCCTCTCCTCGTCGCGGTCGACGCGGTTCTTGTACTCTGCCGTGCGCACGTATCCGGCGCCGTTGGAGGAGATGAGCTGGAAGAAGTTGGACAGGGCTTCTTTGATATATGTCTCGGTAGCGATGTTCATGTACTCTGCGCAATCGGACGTGTGGCCGAGGGCGAGCCCGGACTCGTAGCATATAGGGAGGAGACGGTGCGATATGGTGGCTGCGGTGGGGAATTCGTGGGTTTCGGTGAAGAGGGAGGTGGTGTAGCGTTTGCGGATTTCGAGGTCCCAGTCTGCGTTCTGTAGTCAGTGTCTCCGTCCTGTCCCATACTAGGGGAAGCGTATACGTACTGGTCTTCCCGTACCCGCCCGCCGCACTCGTCGGCCCGCTCTCAGGCAGCTTGGCCCGTCGCGCCTCGTGGTACTCCTGCATGATGCCCCCCACCCCGTCCGCCCACTGTACATCCAGCCCCGCACTCGGCGCCTGGTGCATCGTCTTCAGTCTCTTTCTCTCTCTGCGATTCAACTGCATAACCTCATGCTTCAGCCGCTTCTCACCCTCATCGCCTGCGCCCTTCACCGTCCCACTCGACGGCTTGTCACTGCTGACCCAGCTCGCGACGCCTGGCTCGGGCGGATCTCGCGTTGAGTTCACAATTATGCCCATGAAGTAGGCGTTGTGGGCGTGATCGAGCGCGGGCGTCGTGAGTATCTTGTCGAGCCGCTGATTCAGTTCCTCCTGGTTCAGGTTCCCTAGCAGGAAGGAGGAGAGCGAGGCCTTGTAGATGAGCATGTCCGAGTCGCTGATTGACGTCTTCATTATTGTGTAGAGGGGCTCGATGTCAATGCGGGGCGCGCGTGGCTGGGAGGCCTTCTTGTCGGACTTGAGGAGCGACATGTCGGGGAGCGTTTTCGAGGAGAGGGTCGGTGTGGTTGAGACGTTCATCTCATTGGGGCGGATGGTGCCTGCCATTGCGGCGGCTGTAGGGACGGCAGAGGATGCGGCGTAGGAGCGGTGGAAGATGCGACGTGGTGGTGGTATTGCGCGTGTTCAGCCAGCGGGCCGACTGCTCGTGACGCGCGGGAGGTCGCGAGGGAGGCGGAACTAGCAATGCAGCAGCTACAGCGTTGCGCAAGCGTTCCGACGGCTTTTCGAGATGCGGAATTGTATCGCGGAGGTTAGTAGAGATGAGCGCCGATGGAAGATTAATGCATGAGACGTGGCGGGCGAAAGCGAGGGAGGCTTTGGTCGTGGTGAGAGTTGAGGTGAGGTTGAATTAAAGGGCAGACTAGCATGGAAGCATGGAAGCTGGGGTCCGGGGCTATGTGGCATTGTGCCAACGGAACTAAACCACGTTCCTGAACCTTTTCTTTTGTATTATTATACATGTAACACGTCTTGATACATTTACACCCACTATCGCAGCATCATATCTAGGAAAAACGCTTTTCCATGACCACGAAACACCAGGGCCCCCCCCATTTTTAAGCCACCCTACCCTTTCCTTTCTTTTCCATCCAGACCCCCATCCGGTTCCAATATCCACGCATGCGACGAACGGTATCTCTAGCTATCATCCCCAAACACATCCGTCAACTCCACCATCCCCACGCTCCACACCTCCCTCTCATCCTCCATCTCATCACTGCTCAATCCCAATCCGCCAGCACCACCCTCTGCTTCCTTCCTCTCCCTCGCCTGCCCAGCCAGTCTCAACGCAACACGCTTGAAATAGTCACCCATACTGCGCTGCTGTCCTGCAGACAGACTCTTCCCCGGTCCCGCCATGTACTTGTCGAACACGGCCGTGCTCTCGTCCACAACCGAGAAGATAGCCAGGAAAGCAGCTTCAGCCGAAAGTTTGATTGGGATGACGGGGTCCCGCACCGAAGCGAAGACCGGTGGAGTAAGGAGCGGAATGTGCGGGCGAACTTGGTCATTGTGTTGTCGCGCAACGGTGCGGAGGACAACTAGGGAGAGTCGTCGAGTGTCGGCAGGCGTCCCAGGCTCGGTTACGGGCGCTAGGGCTTCGAAGAGGGGCTTTGTGTGCTCATAAGTCTTGTTGGTCTTCTCGCTGAGAAGGTATTTGCCTGCTGCCAACACCGAGTTGTCGGAGATTACCGGCTGCGAATGTGCAATGCCTTGCGAGATGATGTTGACCGTCTCATCGGGGAAGTTGTCGGCCAGAGCATCAGGCGAGTCGAGAAGGATGGCGTTGAGAGCGAGGACCGAAGCTTTGGAGAAGTGCGTAGTGAGAACACGAGCTTTGATAAGGCTACCTGCGACATCAGGCGGAAGACAACCGATCAAGGCACCCAGAAGTCGGGCGTTGGTGATTGCCATAGTATCTAACCTTTGTTAGTGATTTATCCAAAGCCATAACGGACGGAATAACTTACCATCAGAGTCATCGGTGTCATGATCGATGAGCCCCAAGATCGCTGTCCGACTAGCCTCGTTCATATTTTTGCCAACCTTGCTCACGACCTCGAATAGCGCCTTGAACATGGCATTCTTGACGGCCTGGTCGCTAGTCTTCGAGCCAGTGACCAACTCCGAGATGAGTGGGTCAACCCTAGGCGTCAACTTAATGAGGGTACCAAGAGCCTTGGCTGCACGCGCGCGCAGTAGATCCGACGAAGTATCCGCAAGTGACTTTGCAAACGTTCGCTGCAGCTGGGGCAAGAAGGGTTTCAGGTGTGTAGGTATCTTCTCTAGCAAGTTGTTGAGGGTTAGAAGAATAGCGGCCTTGACCTCCGTCGAGCGTTCTGTCACCACACGAATAAGCGGTCCGGTAATGTGGGTAACAAAGGGTTGCAACGCTTTCGTCTCTGTGCGATCGATGATATCGGATACGGCCAGAGCAGCCTGGATACGCTGTTCCATAGACCCGTTCATGAGACCCTGCAGGAAGATGGGGAGGATAGCCATGATGCCCTTGGGCAGGGAGAATCCAGCAAGGTTTGAGCCAGCCACACCGACCTGCAGCAAAGTCTGCCGGGTTGA